CTTGCTGTTTTCTTTGTTTGTTTTTGTTTTGTTTTTTTTAATACTTATTTACTTATTATGTATACAATATTCTGTCTCTACTTATGCCTGCAGGGCAGAAGAGGGCACCAGACCCCATCATAGATGGTTGTGAGCCACCACGTGGTTGCTGGGAATTGAACTCAGGACCTTTGGAAGAGCAGGCAATGCTCTTAACCTCTGAGCCATCACTTTGAGACAGAGTTTCTCTGTGTAACAGCCCCAGAATTTGCTCTGTAGACCAAGCTGGCCTCAAACTCACAGTTTGCTTTCTTATACACCCCAGAACCATCTGCTTAGGGTAACACCACCCACAAGGGGACTGGGTCCTTTCACCTTCATTATTAATCAAGAAAATGCCCTACAGAAGATTTTATGTATATAGGTGTGTGTCTGCATGTATACCTGTATACCACATGAGTGCCTGGTGCCCACGGGGCCAGAAGAGGGCATCAGATCCTCTGGAATTGGAGTTATAGAGGATTGTAAGCTGTTATGAGGGTGTTCGGAATTGAACCTAGGTTCTCAATTAAGAGCTAGTATTTTGTTTTGTTTTGTTTGAGACAGGGTTTCTCTGTGTAACTAACAGCACTGGCTGTCCTGGAACTAGCTCTTTTTTTTTTAATTGATATTTATTGAGCTCTACATTTTTTCTCTGCTCCCCTCCCTGCCTCTCCCCTCCCCTCTTCAATCCTTCCCCAAGGTCCCCATGCTCCCAATTTACTCAGGAGATCTTGTCTTTTTTTACTTTCTACTTCCATGTAGATTATATCTATGTAAGTCTCTCTTAGTGTCCTCATTGTTGTCTAAGTTCTCTGGGATTGTGGTTTGTAGGCTGGCTTTCTTTGCTTTATGTTTAAAAACCACCTATGGGTAAGTAATGTGATAATTGTCTTTCTGTGTCTGGGTTACCTCACTCAAAATAATGTTTTCTAGCTCCATCCATTTTCATGCAAAATTCAAAATGTCATTATTTTTTCTGCTGTGTAGTACTCCATTGTGTAAATGTATCTTTTTTTTTTTTTTTGAGACAGGGTTTCTCTGTAGCTTAGGAGCCTGTCCTGGATCTAGCTCTTGTAGACTAGGCTGGTCTCGAACTCACAGAGATCCGCCTGCCTCTGCCTCCTGTGCCACCACCGCCCGGCTGTACCATATTTTCCTTATCCATTCTTTGGTCAAGGGGCATTTAGGTTGTTTCCAGGTTCTGGCTACGACAAACAAAGCTGCTATGAACATAGCTGAGCACGTGTCCTTGTGACATGATTGAGCATCCTTTGGATATATACCCAAAAGTGGTATTACTGGGTCTTGAGGAAGGTTGTTTTCTAATTTTCTGAGAAATTGCCACACTGACATCCAAAGCGGTTGTACCAGCTTACAGTCCCACCGGCAATGCAGAAGTGTTTCCTTTACCCCACAACCTCTCCAGCATAAGTTGTCATTAGTGTTTTTAATCTTGGCCATTCTTTCAGGTGGAAGATGGAATCTCAGAGTTGTTTTGATTTGCATTTCTCTGATGACTAAGGATGTTGAACATTTCCTTAAGTGTCTTTCAGTCATTTTAGATTCCTCTGTTGAGAGTTCTCTGTTTAGGTCTGTATTCTATTTTTTTTATTGGATTTTGTATTCTTTTGGTGTCCAATTTCTTGAGTTCTTTGTATATTTTGGAGATCAGACCTCTGTCTGATGTGGGGTTAGTGAAGATCTTTTCCCATTCTGTAGGCTGTTGTTTTGTCTTGTTGACCGTGTCCTTTGCTTTACAGAAGCTTTTCAGTTTCAGGAGGTCCTGTTTATTAATTGTTTGTCTCAGTGTCTGTGCTGCTGGGGTTCTATTTAGGAAGTGGTTCCCTGTACCAGTGCGTTCAAGTATACTTCCCACTTTCTCTTTTATAAGGTTCAGTGTGGCTGGGTTTATGTTGAGGTCTTTGATCCATTTGGACTTGAGTTTTGTGCATGGTGATAGATATGGGTCTATTTTCATTCTTCTACATGTTGATATCCAGTTATGCCAGCACCACTTGTTAAATGTGCTTTCTTTTTTCCATTTGATATTTTTTGCTTCTTTATCAAAGATCAGGTGTTTGAAGATGTGTGGATTGATATCCAGGTCTTCTATTTGGTTCCATTGGTCCTGTCTGTTCTTATGCCAATACCAGGCTGTTTTCAGTACTGTAGCTCTGTAGTAGAGCTTGAAGTCAGGGATTGTGATACCTCCAGAAGTTCTTTTATTGTACAGGATTGTTTTGGCTCTCCTGGTTTTTTTTTTTTGTTTTTTGTTTTGCTTTTCCATATGAAGTTGAGTACCGTTCTTTAGAGGTCTTTGAGGAATTTTGCTGGGATTTTGCTGGGCATTGCGTTGAATCTTTCTGGAACTAGCTCTTGAAGACCAGGCTGGCCTTGAACTCACAGAGATTTGCCAGCCTCTGCCTCCCAAGTGTTGGGATTAAAGGCACATGCTGCCACCGTCCAGCTTTTTTAGTTTTGAAATAAGTAAGGTCTCTCTATGTATCCCTAGCTGTCCTGGAGCTTGCTGTGTAGACCAGATTGGCCTTGAATTTACTAAAATACCTCTGCCTCTGCCTCCTGAGTGTTGGGATTAAAGGCATGAGCCACCATACCCAGTTTAAAGGCCAATCTGATGGAGGCGTTTTCTCTGTAGAGGTTCCCACTTCTCAGGTAACTTTAGCTTGTGTCAAGTTGACAAAAAACTAATCAGCACAGCTACCCCTGGGGGATGAAAACTGGGGTCCAGGATGGCTGCACCTGGATTCTCTTGCTTATATCCTTCTGACTGCAGTTCTGCCTCCTGCTCTCCTCACGGCCCTAGCTGATGCTCCCGTGGTGTACCATGGGGAATTGCAACGCCAGCCCCAGATCCAGGGGATAAAGATGACCAAGTAGACAGTCAGCTTATTTATAGACTGCTGGAGCTCAGCTGTATTTCTGACCCAGGGCTTCAGGCTCTCTTCCAGAGGAGTGGTCTGGTCACTAATCCCATTTGGGTGATGTCAGGATGGATGATGGTTTGGTCAGAGGTGGGGGGTATAGCTTTTTCTGGTCAGTTTTGGATCTTTCCTGGCCCCTGTGGCTCCACCACTCTCCACTGGTGTCTAGATACGTGTGTGTGTGTGTGTGTGTGTGTGTGTATGTGTGTGTATGTGCATGGCCTCTTACATGTATAATATACCATTATATAGCACCCCCCCCCCCAATCCCGACTGGTGTGTATCTGACTGAATCAAGAAGCCAAGGGAAGAGGGCCAGGGGCCAGGGGCCACAAGGGTTTTTAGGAGTCACCAGCTGCCTCCTGCTCTCTAGGCAGAGCCTGCAGGCTGTGTGGTCTCTGGTGGTCTGTGGGTGTGGTCCCACACAGCTCTGTCCCTTTCCTGGGGTTCAGACACCAAAGAAAACTTAAGAGGAATTGAAAGGTAGAGGGCTGAGGTAAACCCCAGGTTGAGCAGGCACTTCCAGGCACACATCCGGCATTCTGGGGGCTCCCCTGGACTCACACATCCCAAGAACTGGGACCCTGAGCATGCAGCCTTGCGGGCCGGGGTTGCAGTTCCCCATTGTGGCCTCTCGGGGGCAGCAGTAGGCTGGTGCAGTGAGCCTAAGTGCTGGGCTGGGAGCTGCAGACCTTACTTAGGCACCTGGGGTTTCCACTAAGACGCAGCCCCCTTTTTTTTTTTAAATTTATTTATTTATTATGTATACAACATTCTGCCTCTACCCGCATGCCAGAGGAGGGCGCCATATGTCAGTACAGATGGTTGTGAGCCACCATGTGGTTGCTGGGAATTGAACTCAGGACCTCTGGAAGAGCAGCCAGTGCTCTTAACCTCTGAGCCATCTCTCCAGCCCAAGACGCAGCCCCTTTAAGAGCTGCCCATGGACATCCTTTGTTTTTCTCTTTTCCTCATTCTTCCCGTTCCCTCTTCTTTTTCCTCACTCAGAGACCTTCAGCAAAAAGGTTTCCTTGTTCTGCTTTCCCTCCTGTCCTCTGGGCTGCAGATGAGATGGGGAACCTTGGCCCCATGTTTAGTACCTGGCCCACACTTTGGGGCTCTTATGATCTGCATCCTTTGGTTGGGTTGAAGCTCAGAGATTGGAGGATGGGACCTAGCAAGGGGCCATCATCTCTCCATCTTTGATGGGCTAGTGTGTATCTGGGCACACCTGCAAGGGGCAATGGTGCCAGTTACCATGTGCTTGTCTGCCTGGGATGGTGTTAATTAGTCATGGGCTGATTCTCCCTGAGCGGGTCAGAGTGAGACGCCAGGTCCCTGGTTATGCAGTTATAGAACGGCACTAGTGGGACTCTCAGAATGGCACATGGTTCCGATGGAATCTGGCTTTGCTCCCACTACCCCTTGGAGAATGGGCTGGACCAGAGGCTGAGCTGATTCAGTGAGCACTCTGGGCCAGCAGGGGGCCGTCTGGGGTTCTTTGGCGTCTCTCCTCTGCTACTTTGGTTCTTGAATTCTCTTTTTAAGTTAGGAAATCTCACGGACACCGCACCCTCCCAGGCACCACGGGCTCCCTAAGGCGCTTGAAAGCTAGGGCCGCCCAATTGCCACCAACAGCAATTGGGTCACCTCTTGATTTGCTCGGGGCTTTGCAAATCCTTCTTATGGTTGAAGAACTGCTGCAGAATGGGCGGCGGGCCTGTTGGGGGTGGTCTGGGGTGTAGGTTCGGGGCCGAGAACTGCTGCGATCTCATTCCCGGCCCAGCCTCCTCAAACGCTCCCCCTGTCCTTCAGCTGCATCTTCCTCGGAGACCCCGGGAGGGTGACAAGGAGGCGGGAGCTCGGGGTCGCTGCGATTGGCCGGTGGGGCGGGGTCCTCGAGGGGCGGGGCCGCGCTGGATTGGCCGGGTGCGCTCGGGGCGCAGCGGGCCGGCCCGCAGGTGTCTGGCCGAGGGGTGGGAGCCAAGCTGCGCGCCCGCTGCTACCGCGGACCCGGGAGGGGTGGGAGCCCGCCGGTGTGGTGCGGATGGGGTGTCCGGGGGCAGCGGGCGCGGATCGCTGACAACGGCCGCAGCCAGTGAGCCTGGCGGCGGGGGCCTAGGCTCCCCAGCGCGATGCGCCGTTCCAGCACTGATGAGTCCACATACCGGCGCAGCCCTTCTCCGGAGAGCAAGGAGCCGGGCTTCGCGCGCGGCGGCCCCTTTAGGCGCTGCAGCAGCTTGTACGGGCGCGCGGGCGCCGGGGACGCCGGGGATGCGGGAGGCGGCTTCTTCGGCCTGCACACGAACCCCGGCCCCAAGGCGGCCCAGGCGCGCTATACGACTCCCAAGGGCAACAAGTATGTGGTCTTCTACCTAGACCTCTCCTTCATCTTCCTTCTAGAGCTGAAGCGCTGCAGCATGGCGCGCGGCTGCCTCCAGGGCGTCAAGTACCTCATGTTCGCCTTCAACCTACTCTTCTGGGTGAGTGCGGGGGGTCTGAATGACCGGGGTTCGCTGCTTTACCAGTGGCTGCCAGAAGCCCTTTCCTCTCTTCTCCTCTGCTGTGGAGACAGGGTGTGTGCGCACGTGCTCACAGGACCGGCTGGTAACCAGCCTTGCCTCTCCTGGACTCCAGGCGTAGAACTGATCACCGCTTCTGTGCCACTGAGCCATGGGTGCCTTCCTCAGCCTCCTCCCGGTCTTTCCTCTTTAGCCTATGTCCTTCCCTCGCCCCTTTCACACACTGCCCCTCTGGGAGATTGACCCACCAGGTCCTGGTCCCCAACTGGTCCCCCTGGATCCAGAAGATCAAGGGTATGTGTACTGCCCGACCGATTAGGGTCTAGGAACGTATCACAGACACTGGCCACGGACTCTTCACGGACATGGGTGACATCTGGCTCCCTGCCACCTCAGCAGAGACTCCAACTTTTGCTGGGGTATGCTGAGGTTGCTCAGACACTGGGTAACGTTCAGTTGGGGCTTGCATTATGGTAGAGCAGGAGATGACCCCCTCCAGTCTGGATAAAGGACAGTTTGCACACCCTCACCCCCTACTCCACAGTAAGTGTCACAGCTGATTACCACCTGGTATTGGGGCTTGGCTGAGCCTGGAGCCTGAGCGGAGGATGCTGGATTTGATTAGAGGTGACCCTTTATTGCCTGGGCATAGCCTGGTGCTTCACTTACAAGCTAGGAAGCTTGGAGAATGGTACCCAAGGTCATTCCATATTCTACCTTGGTTCCTGAGCCAACTTTCTGAGAGTGGGTGTGACTGAGGTTGAGGGGTGTGGTTGGGAGCGAGGGAGTGTGGGAGTGGGAGGATAGGGGGCATCACTGGGATCTCCACTTGCTGCTCATTTGCATGCAGTCCAGTTCAAGTCAAACGTGCAGAAACCTAGGTCCACCTTCCTGACCTCCCTTTTTTTATGGAGCTGGGATTTGCTGGGACTCTGGGCTGCCTATGGGCAATAGTCCAGGGAGGTTGCTGCCCCACCTATCCCATCTTCCCCCAGCCCCATCAAGAGGTTTCTGCCAGAGGCTCCTAAGGGATGGGCCAGGTCTAGGAGTACTCACGTAGCAGGTGGTATGAGCAGTAGGTGTGGGGTGAAGCTGTAAGCAGCCTGTATAAAGGCAATGCTTCTGTTTGAGGGACTTCAGTGGGCACCAGGGTATCTCTGACACTGTGACAATGGGGAGGGGGTGACTGTAGGCAACAGTATGACAGGTGGACAAGGCTCAAGAACTGCAGATGACAAAGTGACAAGTGGATGGGTGTAGCACTGTGACCAGACCTGACAGCTGTAGGTCACTATGATGGCAGTAGGCAGCGGAGGTGCAGAAGGAGGGTTAGGAAGCAAGAGTGTTGGGCTGGGTAACAGTGGGGTAGTGTTGGTTTGGGGAGGCTGAGGCTGCTACTGAGCAGGCACATTCCACTGACCAGGGGATAACATCCTCTATCAGCGAAAGAAACGATCAGAACCCTTCCCGGCACAATTCCTGTGCTGAGAAACCCAGTTCCCTCCTCTTACCCACATGTACCTTCAGCCTTGCAGACAGGCGTGCATGCCTCAGCACCATCATGGCTTTTCCCTCCAGCTTGCTTCCCAGTGAGGGGTTAGAGACAACCACGCGAAGGTGCTGTGAACAGCATGGCTTTGCCTAGACATACCTGTGCTGGGCTTGGCAGAGTCCATCTGGGCTAGCAAGTGTGAGAGTCCGTCCATCTGGCCTGGTCAGTATGATGTCAGTCCACATTGTCCCTGGTATCTGTGAACTCAATCCCCCTCCTGCTGGTAACAGGCTGTGGGTGGGAGGGCCAGGGCACCCCCTACCTGAGCCCCTGATGACTCTTGCAAGAGAGGCTTTGACTCCCACTTGCCACCTAAAATGTATGACCAGCAGACAGGACCCCAGCCTTTGCTATGTGTCCCGCCTCAGTTTCCCAACAGAGTTAACCAGGCAACTAGGGTCAGAGCTGCACTGACTCCTAGACCTATGTGGGGACCTGAGACGCCCATTCTCTCCTTCAGCAGATAGGCTCTCGCTGGGCAGTGATGCTCAACTCTACTGAGCACTTGGCTAACCTGCATTTGAGGTGCGCACAGGGCAAGGACTAGTTGGTTGGGGGTTGGGGGTGCCTCGGGAAGTAGGCTGAGCACATGGCCCTTGAACACAGTTGAGTGGGTAGGTGGTGTTGGGTGCTGGCAAGCAGCCCCTGGGACCCCCATCTCAAGCCTCTGAGGCTGCACTGTAAGCTGGGCTTCTGCCAGCGAAGCTCTTCCTGTAATGGAAGTTGAGGTCCCCGGGGATCGGAGGGAGTCAGTAAAGCCTGGTTCTTCCTGTCTCCTTTCTCCTTTGCCCTCTCCTCCCCTGCCCTGGGCTCAGGGACCCATCCACTTTCCTGGGCAGCTACTGTGGTGTAAGGACTAGTCTGAATGGGGCTGAGCTCCTCAGCAAGGCCAGGGCGTTTCCATGGCTCTTTTGTATCCAGGTGCCAGAGACGCTGCTGGCCAGGCCTTGGTTATGTGGTTGGCTCCTCCCATAATGCACTGACCAGTCGGAGACCCTTCCTGTACTGCTTCCAGGCAGGTGACCCTCCCCAGTCCTTAGTCTAGCACAAGGAACAGCTGCCCCCTGCATGGTATGGTCAGTGTCTGTTTGGGCAGACAAGATGGAGGTTAGAGTCATGCCTGTTACCCAGACACTCTGTGACCCAAGAAGATCCTGTATTTGTTTGTTTGCTTTTTTGAGACGGGGTTTCTCTGTGTAACAGCCCCAGCTATCCTGGAACTAGCTCTTGTACACCAGGCTGGCCTCGCATTCACTGAGATCCGCCTGCCTCTGTCTCCCGAGTGCTGGGATTAAAGGCGTGTGCCACCACTGCCTGGCGAAAATCCTGTATTCTTGGCATTTCAGATTCTCCATCTTGATCATGCAAAGTGACCCAAAGGTGTGTGGATCAGGGTCCCCCAGCTCCCACCCAGGTGGCCTGTAATGACCTGAGCTGGAGGAGGCATAGGAGTCAAGCTCCACTTTCCTTTCCTTAAGGGAGGGTACTGGAGCCCCACCCTGGCCCTGCTCTGCCTGGGCTGTCAGCATTACAGCCTCAGTACCTGCCTTATGCAGTCCCCAAGGAAGGTCCGGCCAGGCACAGGGATCTGCCCCCACACTGGCAGCAAGTTGCAGGGCACATGCCTTGCTAGGCCCTTGGTCGTCTCTTGCCATGATGAGCTGAGGTGGTAACTGATGAACAGTGGTCCTGGTGTTGGCCGCTGGCACTTTTAGTCTGGTGGGTGAGGGGACCAGGGCTGGGACCAGGGACTGGGGGACCTCTCTGCTTCCTGTAACAGCCTATATTTGTGATGGGGGTGGCAGGGAACTGCCCATACAGAAAGTCACAGACTAGTCTGTGCTTTGGGATGTTGGTGGCTCCAGCAATGTCCTGAGTTGGAAGAAACAAAGTTATGTTTTTAAAGTATTTTGAGACAGTCTGTCTCACTTAGCCCAATCTTTCCTTACTTATGATGACACTGAACTCCTGACCTTGCTGCTTCTACCTTTAAAGTGCCAGGAATACTGGCGTGTGCTACTACACATGGTTTATGTGGTGCTGGGTGTCTAACCCAGTGTACACTTGGCAAACACTCTACTAACTCAGGTATGTCCCCAGGCGTGCATTCAATTTTAAGTGCACAAACTCACCCCACTGGGATAACCAATGTCCTAGCCAAGATGGGGAAGGTTCCTGCCAGTCTGCAGGAGAGGGGCTTTTGGACATAGCCTTGGTTTATACAGGGGGCCCAGCCCTTCCACCTCCACCAAAGATGTGGCTAGCTGCCCGGCCATCTGCCACATTGAGTTGTATGGCTGGAGGGGTGGTGGGCAGAGACTTGTTAGCACTCGCCTCTGTGGATCTGGACAGGCACATTTGGTGGGCACCCAGTGCCATGTGGCACTCAGCCTGAAGCTGATCCGAGGGGCTGGAGGCAAAGGTAACTGCTGTGCAAAGGTTTGGGTGGTACCTGGGTAACAGCTCATTACACCTCTCGGACTGCCACAGGCATCATAGAGTGCCTAGCAGGTGGCCAAGATAGGCTGTGCTTGGGATGCAGGACCATGGTGGCAGGAGTCCTGCCCCTGGGTGTTGCTCCCAGCTACTATCCCTTCAGGACCCTAGCTTCTCTAGATTGCTGTGGGGAGTGGGCTTTGCCTCCCACCAGGGATCCTCTATAGTCTGGTGGTACAGCTGCAGAGGAGTGAGCCAGCAATAGGAGGTGGTCTGCCTTAGAAGTGGGGCTCAGGAAACTGGGGAACATTGTAGATTCAGGGTAGGGGTTTTAGCTCCATCCCCAGTTTTGATTCAGGAGAGACCTTGCTCCAGGCCCCCAGGGCTCAGCCCTAAGTCCTGCTTTTCTCATCTTCTGAGAGTCTCACAGGCCCTTTTTCTTTTGATCTTTGAAGCTGTAATTTTCCTGCCAAAATGTTTTAGAATCTGCGTGCACTAAAACATTTTTAAATTACAGGTACAGTACTCTTAGCACACGCACGTTTTCAGTAGTGCACCCTTGCATGTGGCATTGGCTCGGGCTGTGAAAGGGGTGGCCCATGAAATGGTGGTGGCTCTGCGTGTGCTGCTCATTGTGACAAGGCATGTGACACCTCTGGGTGGCAGTGAGGGGCATCTGGGCTGCTGTTTGTCTTTTTCTCAGCGAGGGTGACAGGCTATGTAGTAGTTAATGGAGATTTTTCCTGCTGTCTCTGGGTGGAGGGAAGCATGTCTCACCGTGTCAGTGAAGGAGAATGGTTCTCTTCTGGGTGTGGGGTTCGGGGTTCTTCCCATTCCACTCTTGGAGATTGCCCCGTCCTGGCCTCCTGGAATGGGGTATTTCCCCCACCCCAGTGGTGCCAGCTGCTTTGCACAGCGGTGTCCTTCCTATGCCCTTCTCGGTCCCGTGGGGCAGGGGCACTCCAACAGCTCACTTTCCTGCTGACTCGAGCCGTCTGCTGTCTTTGGAAGGCAGAGGCGGATGGTGCAGACTGCTTGGGTCTTAATGACACTTGTCTTTTACCAGCATCTCCCCTCCCCCCTGCTCAAGGACCTGCCGTCTTGAGTGCTCAGCCTCATGAAGGGTCATGGCTCCTCTGGGGCAGTGTTATGCTTGAGGTCAGCCCTATGGGTTGGTGTCTCTTGAGGCCTCTTGCTACTTTTGACTTGCAGCTCTTCTAGGGCAGGTACAATGTAGAGTGAGCGTGGGGTGTCCTGCTCTTACAGCTTCATAGCCTTGGTAATTCTGATCCAGTCCAAGGTAGCAGGTAGGGTATTAACTTCTGCTTAGCAGTGTAGGGCCCTGGAGGTCCTTCCATAACCTGTGAGACACATTACTGGGTCCTGGAAGACTTAGTGATGCTTGGGACCTTATGAAGGTTATGGGACAAACCCGTGGAGACAGGAGAGACCTTGTTTGCTATGGCCCTGGAGAAGCCTTCCAGATCTCTCAGCTTTGTGTGTTTGTGGAATGATATTGTGCCTTGTGGTTGGGTGATTGATTCAGTGACTATCACATGGCAAGATCTCCATTAGGGACACTTCTCACATGTTGAATGGGGATGCCTGGCCCATCCAGTTGCTTTACTTGATCAACACCATAGACAACACCACCTCTCAACCACTGGCAGTCCTGCAGAGGTCCCAACCATAAAGGAGGCATCTCTGTAGACTGGCTGTGAGGAGATGTCACCCAAGGCATATGTACCCTTCCTCCCCCGAGGCAGGTTTCTTGATCCTTCTCCTGGATGCAGAGCTTCCCATATGGCCAGCTTTCCCAGGTCCCTTTGCTTCCTGCTGACTCCATAGTAGTGTCTCCAGGAGCTACCTGGAACTGAGAACCTTGGGTCAGAGCCCACATCATGGGCTCCTGTGCCATGCCCTGTCCAGTTCTTTGTTGGGCTGCGAGGCCTTTTCCCAGAGCCCATCAGCTGGTGGTCCATCCCTAGCCTCTAGGAATACATCTTCTCTCCTCTCCAAATGACACAGAGTCCAAGGCCTCAGGTGTGGTGGAGCTGTAGCTCCCCTACCACCATGGCAGCCCCATATCCTGAGACAGACTAGATGTCCCTGTCACCATGCCATGATGAGCCCTCTGTAGTCAGCCACCATATGCCTTTCTTCCCTGCTTTCTCTTATTTGGATTTTTATAAAAATGAGTGATAAGAGTCCGGTGGGTGGAATGCACCTTTAATCCCAGCACTTGGGAGGTAGAAGCAAGTGGATCTCTGAGTTCCAGGACAGCTAGGATTGCACAGAGAGATCCCGTGTCAAAATAAAAATGAAAAAAACTGATGAAGCTCCGGGAGGCTCGGAGAGGGGTGGATGTCTGGGCAGTAGCGGGTGTTCTGGTGAGGCCCTCCGGTTGGTACAGAGAGCTACTGCAGTTTGATTATGAGCGGGAAGTGTGCCGAGCCAGGGTTATGAGTAGCCCAGGACAAGGGGGCCACATGGCTGGGTGGGCCGCTCAACTGCCATGGCCTCTATAGGGTGTAGGGAAGGAAGGTTGCAGGATCAAAGGGCCCAAGGAGATTCAGTCCCTTCTGGCCAGACACTGGGTCGGTGGATGCATCATGCAGGGAATCTGAAGGCACAGTCTCACTGGGGCTGAATGAGGAGGTGTACTCTGTCACAGGCCACTGTCATTGCGGGGAAGAGAAGGGACTTGAGGCGTGGTGCCCTGCCACAGGAATTAAGATGTTTCCAGTGGTTCCCAGGCTGGCAATGTTGGCCTGAGCTTGTGGGTGGAGCCCTGCCAGTCACCTCACCCCTTTTCTCTCTCTTTCTGTATTGCCGCGGTCCTAGCTGGGTGGCTGTGGTGTCCTGGGCGTTGGCATCTGGTTGGCTGCCACACAGGGAAACTTTGCCACCCTATCATCCTCATTCCCATCCTTGTCGGCTGCCAATCTGCTCATCGTCACTGGTACCTTCGTCATGGCCATCGGCTTCGTGGGCTGCATTGGGGCCCTCAAGGAGAACAAGTGCCTACTGCTCACTGTGAGTGTGTTGGGCCCCTTTGTGGCTCTCGGTGCCATCAGCTTCACTTCAGGGGCCTGTCCAGTACCAGAGGGGTTGCTCAAGAGAATACATTATAGCTGGGGTCGGGGGCTGAGGCAGGACAATCATGAGGTCCAGGCTAGTCTGGGGTCCAGAGCAAGACCCTGTCTTAAATAAAATTTAAAGGGGGAGGGCACTAGTCTAGAAGAATGCTTGCATGATATGCATGAGGTTTGAGTCCCAGCACCACACATAGAAAAAGCATACCACAGCTTGGAGAGACAAGGCATAGACCCAAGAACTTAGGCGTGCCCACATGTGGCCTTTACTGGACTGTTCTGAGACTCATCCTTGTGGTGACCCCAACTTGCCCCTGGCCCTACCCTCTGTGGAATCTCACAGCACCATTTGGCCTTGGCAATATATTTATGGCAAGGAAGCTATTTCCTCCTCCACAGTTTATAAAGTTAATCACAGGTAATTAGGAAAGGGCTCCTAGAGGCTCTTACAATTAATGTTCCTGACAGGCCTCGAGCGGCAGGACAGTGGACTGAAGCTCTATGTCAAGAGGCTTTGAATGGTTCCTTTCCTCTACCTGGGGAGGGTTTTGCTCAGGGCCTCCGTCTCTTGTAAGACAATCTATTCCCTCTCCCGCCCCTAAAGGGGGTACTGCAGAATGTTTACAGGCTGCTGATAGGTGATGCTTGGGATCTCTTTTAATTTTTTTGGTTTTTTGAGACAGGGTTTCTCTGTGTTACAGCCCTAGCTGTCCTGAAACTAGCTCCTGTAGACCAGGCTGGGCTCGAACTCACAGAGATCCACCTGCTTCTGCCTCCCAAGTGCTGGGATTAAAGGCGTGTGCCGCCGCTGGGAATGGAGCCCAGCAGTAGAGTACTTGCCTAACATATCCTGGGAAGGGGAGCGTGTAGAGGGAGACCCAAACAGAGGTGTCAGGCCAGGAGCCCGGGAAACAGGGACATATACCCACATGGGGATGTTTAGATCATGCATGGGGCTCTCCAGGAGCAGGATGTGACTAAGGACATCCTCTCTACAGTTCTTTGTGCTGCTGCTGCTGGTGTTCCTGCTGGAAGCCACCATTGCTGTGCTCTTCTTTGCCTACAGTGACAAGGTATGTTGCTGCGAATAGACTGCACACGGGGTGCTGGGAGTCAGTGTAGACATAGTACCCAGGGATCTGTCTGTGGCTCTGGTTGTATGGGTGGCACAACAGCACTATTAGCTCCTCTTGTGAGTGCAGGCTGCTAAGTGTACACTGTTCCAGCCACCCCAACCTGCAACTGCAGCTTACGTGTGCCATGTGTTGTTTCCCTTACCTATCTGTTTAATGGGTTTACTGAAAATCTGGGATCTTGAGTTATAGCTAGCACTATGTTCCAAGCTCCTGTGTCCCTGACTTTCTGTAAAGGACTGCAGGAAGCTCCATGTACAGGCTGGGAGTTGCCTTCTTCAGTGCCCTAGCTCCTTTACTGAAGACCTAGGAATGATGCCCATCCCCTCAGCGGTAGAACAGACATGCCTGCTTATACTAGCAAGTAGACTGTAGTCTTCCCTTAGCCAACAAGAGGAAGCCTACAGAGATGAGAAGACAAAGGCCTGCACTAGGGTCCTTGCAGTTCTGGGAGGACAAGAACCTGGGTGTGATCAGGTGGTAGGGTAGTGGGTAGTCCCAGGAAACAGGCAAGGGAGGGGCATGTGGTATTGCTGAGGGATGGTGTCTGTCGTGGAGGGTATTCACTGGTGGCCTGTTAACAGATCGACAGTTATGCCCAGGAAGACCTGAAGAAGGGCCTGCATCTGTATGGCACACAGGGCAACGTGGGCCTCACCAACGCCTGGAGCATCATCCAGACTGATGTGAGGCTTGGGCAGCCTTCTTGGTATGGCGGGACAGGCTAGTGGGGGTGGGTGTTGTGGCTGCCTCCCCACCAGCCCTTTGCTTTCCTCCTGCTCCTAGTTCCGTTGCTGTGGAGTCTCCAATTACACTGATTGGTTTGAGGTATACAACGCCACTCGTGTGCCTGACTCCTGCTGTCTGGAGTTCAGTGACAGCTGTGGGTTACACGCACCTGGTACCTGGTGGAAATCGGTAAGGGCTTTTGCCTCTTTTGGGTGGCTGCAGAGGTGGGGTTTCCCCAGCTGATCCTGGCTCTTCTGCAGCCCTGTTATGAGACAGTGAAGGCCTGGCTCCAGGAGAACCTGCTGGCTGTGGGCATCTTTGGACTGTGCACGGCGCTGGTGCAGGTGAGCAGGGCAGGGCAGGGCCTGGGAATCTTGACCAGGGAGAACAATGGCAGAGGATTTACCCTCAGGAGCCTGTGACCTGGGCAGGGAGGTAACAGTGCAGACTGTAAGAAGCCGGTGCCTCGGAGGAAGTTTCACTAGGGGAGCTGACCTTTAGTTTCTCAAGGACTAAGTGCTGCTCAGTGCTCCCTGCCTGTGCAGAGTCTGCTGTCACCTAGTGGGTCAACACAGCCAGGCAGCCATACTGGTTGGGAGTGACAGGACTTCCCAATGCAGAATGAGGGTAGCACTTGAGACCCTACTGCTTCCAAGGCCCTGTTCTCCTGGGTTCATAGCCATCCATAGAAGTGCTGAGAGTTGGCAGTGTGATACTCCAGGCTAAGTGGGACAGACTTACAGGGCAGCCAAAATTCATCTGGCAAACAGATACCAGTTGGCTCCAGCTAGAACAAGTGGTACAGTAAGGGAGATGGCCTGGCTCAGGCCAGGTTGGAAAGGAGTGTGACCTAAAGTGCAAACCACAACTTACCCTGGGGATGAGTTGCAGGAGTGGGGTCATACCAGGCTACCCCAGGAAGCCCAGGCCCTTCTGCCTATGGGCAAAGGCCTGTGACCTCTTGTCTCCACAGATCCTGGGCCTCACTTTCGCCATGACCATGTACTGCCAGGTGGTAAAGGCGGACACCTACTGCGCATAGGTCTCAGAGCCTCTGCTTCTCTGCCAAAGGACCCCGCCCATGGGGAGATGTCCAAACCCGCTTCCCATGCAGGACTCGGTGCTCTGCTGAACGCAGGGGGAAGAGCTTGAGGCCAAAGCACCCAGGATCCACCCCTGCACCCAACGGGGCCTCTGCTTGGGTGGCTGCAGTCACCAGATTATAGTGTTGGTGCCAAGCATGGCACCCAGGGCTAAGAGCCCAGGGAACTTTGACTTTTTATATCCATATATCTTCCAGTATTCGCACAGGATAGGGTCCCCAGCCTTGCATGGATGCCAGGTTGGGGGCAGGCCCAGTCTGCTCAAGGCCCACGATGGTCCTGGTGCTCCAGGCAGGGCCAGGTTCCATTGATTCACATTCCATGATGGTGGCGCGGGACCAGGTGCATCTTAATAAAGTATGAGCAGCCCCTGTGTCTAGCTGGACACACAAAAATTGTACAGCCATAGCCTCCAACTGAGGAAGTTCTTTCATTAGCCAAGGGTCAGCAGAGTTGGGAGCACTGCTGACCCATTGCGGGTTGGGGGAAGAGATGGCCTCTGTCCATTCCTGTCTCTCCTGGGATATCACAGACACTCTTGTATCTCTGTCCTAGGAACTCTGCCCTTGGATTGTGCAGACGGACTGCAAACAGCACCTCTAGGTGACACAAGCCCTTGCCAGAGTTAAAGCATCAAAGTTGTGTCTTCTTAACCAGGGGGTAAAGAAGAACCCTAGGTGAGGGCCTCTAGCTGTAGGGCTAGTACCCTGGGTGTTTAGGTGACCTTCTCCTAGGGCCCTCAGGAGCTGTGAGGCACCTGACTCCCAGTCCCTACATCCTGCTGTCTGAGAGGCCTACTCTGCCACACAGTTCTCATTAGTGGTCATCCTTGTGACTCCCACACCTGAGAGTGACATGCACTGGAGAGAATCTCACCAGCTATATCTGTGGGGTTGCTGCTACACTTCCCATTCTCTGGCTCTGGGCTGAATCCTTGCTTCCCACTGTCCTCTCTCTAGTAGAAGCCATAGGACCTGAAGAATCTCAGAATTACTATGGAGTCAGCTGCTCCAGACAAGCTGCTAAATTAGCAAAAGGCCCTTTTACTTATAGGTTGCTAAACAGGGGAAGCTGCATTCAGAATACATGGTGTGCTGACTCTGCTCAAAGCCTTGGCCCTCTTGAGCTTCCCTCAGGTCCCAGGATGTCCTTCCCATCCCCTCCTCCTTCCCATCCCCAAGCTGAGCAGCTCTCAGAGATGGCTCATGGTCACCAGACCACCATAGCCACTAACAGCCCACAGTGCTTTACCCTTACTGATTGAATTTCTATCCACTAGTCGGTCAGTTCTTGAACAGCACCTCTGTACACCCCAACTTTGCTGACCCAAACCCAGAACCTGAATTTACTGCTTAGGGGGGTTGCCCCTGGATGGCTCTGGGGTCAATCTCCAGCACCAATGAGGAAAAAGAAACCGAGAAGCGAACTGGGCTGCCCACTTTTCTGTAGCCCTAGAGAACTCACCTAAGTTCCCATCTACTCCTATCATTTGATATCATCACCCCATTCCAGTCAGGACCCTTGCCTGTGGCACTCTGACCTCTACTGCCTTGTCCCTATACCACCTTGGTCACTCCATCTGCTCACAGCAGGCTGTGCCCCAGCCAGCCTGCTGTTGTTACTTCTCCAGTACTCTGCCCGCAACCAGGTAAGCTCCATGCCACTCACTTTGTTTTTGTAGACTAGGGTGGTCTCAAACTCACAGAGATCCGCCTGCATCTGCTTCCCGACTACTGGGATTAAAGGTGTGTGCCACCATGCCCGGCTGTCACTCACTCCTTATATTCAGATATTCCCATCTACTAAACCCTCAGAGTCAAGTCTGGAGAGACCCAGGGCCAGCCAGTCCCAACTCCTACCACTCCTGTAACACAACATAGCACATGAGCACACTGACGACCACTTCTTATAGAACGGGAGGCCAAGATGCCTCTGTCCCCTCACGCTGACCTTGTCCTGGTCTGGCTATGTCTCTTTCTCAGAGCCGGGGGTGGGGTGGGAGTAAGGGCAGCCCCCAAGGACTCTGTAATTATCAGCTAGCAGAGTCTGTCCACCTTATGATCCCCTGATCCAGCACCCCAAGTTCTCAGCCCTGGCTACACTGACCTGAGTGGCCAGGATCCACTTCTAGTCCGGCAGAATATAGTCAGTAGGTAGCCCAACTGATGGCTAGGTAGGACTTTACCCACTCCAAAACAACACCAAGAGGCACAGAGTTGGGCCTAGGCCTGTTGCCTCAGTGTCTTCTTCATTCCTAACCCTCAGGATCCTGAGCTACATATCAGAAATTCACGGGGCAGAGTTCTGGTCAGCGTTTCTGGCCTCCATGACTTGGGCCTTGGCTAGTGGATTAGAAGGCTTCCCCCAAGGGCCTGTAGGACCAGGGATCTGTATGAAGACCATACCCAGCAGGGATGGGAAGGGGCACGGACACAAGTGATGGACAAAGGAACTTGGAATGAAGAGGTGAAGCGATAAGGGTCAGCTACTCTTCACCTGTTGGTGCCTCAGGATTCTTAGATGTTTCCCCAGCACTGGCTCAGTTCACTAGACCCCTCTGGTCCCACTCAGCCCACAAGTCCTACTGCTGCCCCCTAGGCATGCCCTATCCCTGTGCCATCTGGTAGATTATGGGTTATGGGCCAGTTTCCAATATGGCCCCACAACCTGGTCACACCAAGCTCAGTAGGGATACATACCGGTCTGTGGCAGGCAGGTAACTGTAGTGTGAGGGCAGGGCCCTCTGCACTGCCCTTTTCAGGTTTTAGGGTGTGTTAGGAACGGCTGTTTTTGCCAGGACTAGAAGAGTCTGATTGTTTATATCTTCTAAACCCACATCCAACACAGGCCTTGCAAAGCACCCAGGAGGCCCCAGTCCTGAGCCAGACTGTCACCGGGGGATGGGAACTGTTTTCAGCTGGTCCACAGGAAGCAGCGATGAGTAGTGAGTAGGAGGAGCCCCAATTCTTAGCCCAGGCCAAGAATCACTCACGTGGGCCCTGCTGAGGAGAGATGTCTCACGGAAAACAGAGAAGAGGCCTATATTTCACCAGTCACTTCATGGCTTAGAAAAGTCCATAGTCTCTTGGGTGTTGCTGTCCAGCCTACAGCAGGTCATAGAAGTAATCCAGGCCTTGGCCCAGCTCCCAGATGGAGACTCCGACGCCCAGCTCCCTGGCTAGCTCCAGCCGCACCTGCAGAGACTGTGGGCAGACAGAGGTGTAGGCACCTGCTCCACCCACTTTCTCACTAGCCCCACAATGTACCCAGAATCATTCTCAACAAGACCACAGGACAGACTTCCAAAGCAGATGGCAAGTCCTGGTACCATTAATGTCATCTGGCCAAAACTGTCACCCCCCCCACCAGAGCATTATGGTTGACAGCCAAAGCACATGACACATACCTTCAGAGTTGGGTAGAACACAACATGCCTCCCGCCGCGATTCCTGCAGGAGAAATGGGAACATGTACCCTGCCTTCTGGCTAGGCCAGAGGGCTACAGTCTCCTACCACCAGGGTTAAGGTCACCAGTCCTGGCCCCTTAATGTTTCCCATCCCCCACTGTTCCCTCATCAATGTCCTCCCCACAAGGCTTCCTGTCTACAAATGGCTCGCCACAAGTCACTCACTTCTTGTACTCAAAGAAGTGTTCCGCAGCCTGGTTGTCCCATACCAGTCGGGGCCTGTGGTCCTTCAGCGTCTGTATGTACCTGGAGAGATCGGGTTATGGGTGTGAGAGCTGGTCATATACCCTCGCCCGTCCCTAAACCCCAGCTTCTATGTGGCTGTCATAGAAAGGGTCAGGGACACACTGTCCCTAAAGGTCCACAGAGAGTCAACAGCACTCAGCTTTATTTTCAGCCAGTAAGCTCGGGTGGTCAGACCTCAAGGTCCCACTGCACACAAGTCCTGCACCACAAAACAGCAGTGTTTTGTGAGCCCAGATAACAAGTTACCCAGTGTCTGGATTTCAACTGCTCCACTGGTGTGAGCTAAGGATTAAAGGACAGGGCTTTCTCCTGGGCAGTGGGCAGAAACATTGGCTTTTACAGGCTAAGTCTCCCAGGCTTTCATTTCCCGGGGTTGTGGGGGTGGGGACTGCTTCATTTCCACAGCTGAAATTGTGCGGCCACTCCTGCTGAAAGGTGTGTTCTCAACTGCTAGGGTCAGGAGGACCAATGCAAGGAGGACCCAGGGCACATAGTCCATCCATCACATGCTGTACATTTGAGACCAGAGCAGCATCCCTACCAGCTATAGGCCTTGGCCACAAGATTGTTAATAGATGGCCTTGGAGATTCTCCTCTGTCTACATCTGGGAGTTCTCCCTGGTCCAGCAGGCACAATCAAGGAGGAGCATGGTCACAGTGTACATGTCTGCTGTAGCCTGAGGTGGGAGGGCTATTAGCCTGCGTTCTGACAGAGCACAGTGGGCAGCAGAGGCTCTAGCACGCTGGTCTGTGAGGCATGGAAGCCTCTAGTATGTGGGGGTTAGGGGAATAAGAGTAGCAGAGGAGCTGCCTTCTAGATCTGAGCTATGGTTGTCTTAGGCTCCTGACAAAAGCAGGCTACTGTGCTGGTTAGGGTAGTGCCCCAACAGCACCAAGGTATCTCGGAGACTTGAACAGCTGTCATCCAGCTGTGCTCCAGAGGCTGTCCCAGGAGAATTGCCTTGGCTTCATGCCACATGGAATGGGAGCTACTGTGCAGGTATTAGGGTCTCCTAGACACCAAATAAGACACAGGGACCAAGGCGAGTAAGGAATAAATAGCTCTAACTAAACAGCCTGGCTCACAGCTACCTCAACCCAAGCTGAACTCTTTTTTTTTGGGAGGGGGGGTTTCGAGACAGGGTTTCTCTGTGGTTTTGGAACCTGTTCTGGAACTAGCTCTTGTAGACCAGGCTGGTCTCGAACTCACAGAGATCCGCCTGCCTCTGCCTCCCGAGTGCTGGGATTAAAGGCGTGCGCCACCACCGCCCGGCAACTCTTGTAGTGAGCTTGTGGTCACAGTTCCACCTCCCCAGGCTTGGGAAAACACTGTTGTCCTCTCTGCTCCTGAGACAACACCCCAACTCTGATATGAACTTGTCCCTCAGTGGCATGCAGACTGCAGCAAATGAAGGCAGAGGCAGTACTGGGAAAGGTGAGTCAGTAGCCACCCCTCAGGGAACAGATGCCTCAGGGAACCCCTCAGGGAACATTGAGGGACCCTCTTCATGTCCATGGCAGCAACCTGATAACCTGAGTAGCTGCAGTCTTCCCTACACAGCATAGCAAGAACCACTTTGTACTATGGTTCTGTGGGCACTTAGTTTTGGAGACAGTCTCATTATGTAGTCCAGGCTGGACTCAAGCTCACAATCTACCTGCTGAATGCTAAGATCACAGGCCTGTGCT